CCCGCCGGCCCCTGCCCGGGGAAGGGGCCGCCGCCCGGCCATTGGCCAGCCGGTCCGGCGACCTCACGCCCTTCGCCTGCCTCTGTCTCCGCGACCCACAGGCCGCGACCTCCCTCCTTGCCCCTCAAGGCCACCGCGCGCCCCAGGCCCTATCACCTCGTGCCTCCAGCCTTGCCACAGCCCGGAGGGTGGAGGGATCTTCCTGAGTCCCACCGTGTCCTCTCAAGCCACCCTCTGTCTAGGAAGCATTCCTGCGGGGAAAATCCCAAGCCCTTGGCAGAGCCTTTAAGGCATCACAGGCGGGCCTCAGTGTGTCTGCCACAGTGGCGCCCTACTCCCGTTAGGATTATCTAGGATCATCCACTTGCAGCTCTGGGAGCGGGTCGGGAGGATGCCAGCAAACTCCTGGAGGGTGGCTCAGCAGAGTAGCGAGAGCCAGACACCTACAGCCAGCTCTGCTCCTTCCTAGTTTCCCACCCAGAGCCGCCTGTACCTCCGTTGGCCTAGGTGTGACATGGAAGTTATGTCTGTGTGTGCCTCGTAGTTAACAAGTGTAGAGCAGGCGGGGAAGTGGGGGAGCTTGGCAATGGGGTGTGTGAGCTACCACAGCGAGACAGAGTTTTGCCTTATAGCAGTCTCCCCAGTGCCTAGAACAGGGGGTGCTCAGATCTTTTAAAAATTTTTAAATCATTTTTTTATTTATTTTTGAGTCAGGGTCATTCTGTCACCCAGGCTCCAGTACAGTGGCACGATCACAGCTCACTGCAGCCTTGACCTCCTGGGTTAAGGCAATCCTTCAGCCTAAGCCTCCAGAGTAACAGGGACTACAGGTGGGGGCCACCAGCATGGCTATTTTTGTTTTTTTTCTTTTTTGTAGAGACAAGGTCTCACTATGTTGCCCATGCTGATCTTGAACTCCGGGCCTCTCAAAGTGATAGGATTACAGGAATGAACCACCACGTGCCCCCGTTGTTGTTTTTGTCTCTCTCTCTCTCTCTTTTTTTTTTTTTTAAATAAATGAGTGTTTTCTGGTCAGTCCTACCTCCTCCTCTTGGCCTGGCTAACTCCTTCCCATCTTTGTCTTACATCCCCTAGTACCATGTGCTTCCCTGTCACAGCCCTGACTTGCCATGGTCTGCCTGTTCACAGGCCCAATTCTCCCCAGGGATCAATAGTTTCTGGGAGGCAGGGACTGGCTCACTCACCTTTGTGTCACCAGGGCTCCTGCCATTTCTCAGTCTCTGAGAAATGATCGGCTGATCATTATATCAATAGCAATTAATATATCAGTATGTCAATATCACTCCTGAGCACTCACTATGTGACAGGCACAGATATTAACTCACTTCATTCTCAGCAACCTACTGAAGTTGGTATTGTTACTTTTATTCCTTTGTCGTAAATTAAGAAAACTTTCCAAAGATCACACAACTAGTAAGTGGTTGAACTGGGACTGGAACCCAGGAAGCTGGCTCCAGATCCTTCACCCTTCATTGCCACACTCCTCCATGATAAGCCCGGCTGGAGGTGTCTGAGCCAAGTCGGGAGGATGAGAAGAGATATCTGTAGGAGACCATGCAGAAAACATGGGTAGGGGGCCACAGTCACTTTGTCATGTTCATATACCTGAGTCCACAGCAGAGGGTCAATGGGAGAAAGCGTGTTTGGGACCTTCTTGGTATCGGGCCCCATGTCCACCACAGCTCGATGAGAGATACCATCACCCCATTTCATAAGGGAGGGCATTTCCAGCAGGAGGTGGATAAACCAGGGTTTCCACAGACAATAGAACATTTAAAAAGTAATGAACAATATTTATAAATAACAACAGCAATAAATCTCAAAAACATAATATGGAGTGGATAAATGGAGATTTGGAGAAGTCAGGCAATCGGGCCAAACAGCAGGTAGGTGGCAGGACTGTTCTTGAACCCCGAGTGACCAAGATGAGCCTTATTCCTCACGACTGCCTCTCTTGGTAGCACTCTCCAAATTACTGTTTGTCACCAAGACAGGGATTCCAGCCACTTCCTCTTCAATTTCCGTGCCTCCCTCGCAGATGTCCTTCTGAACTCTGAGGAAGTCCCACTCCCAGAGTCCTCTGTTCTGTCCCCTGGGTATTTGGCAACTCCGCCTCAGCCATTCATTAGCTTCCTAGGGGTGGCTGAGCCCATGAAAGAATCCTGGAGCTTGGTCTCTAGATGCCTCAGCTTGCCACGTTGTACATTAGGAAGAAATTAATGTGGAATTGGAGGGTGTTGTCGGGGGTACATGCGGGGGCCAAGCTAGGAATTACAGTGGTGCAGATTTATAGAGCACAGCATGCTTTTCCTGTCCTCTATACTGCTGGCTTAAAAGTCTGGGAGTTTGTCCAGATAAGACTGATCTTCTGCCTTAGATCTTTTGCCATGAGTTCTGGAGGTCTTGACTTTCAGAGTGAACTTTAAAAAACTATATTCAGCCGGGCTCGGTGGCTCAGCCTATAATCCCGCGCCTTTGGGAGGCTGAGGTGAGTGGATTGCCTGAGCCCGCGGGTTCGAGACCCTCCTGGGCAGCTTGGTTGAGACCTCATCTCTATAATAAAACAAAAAATTAGCCAGGCGTGGTAGCGTGCGCCTGTAGTTCCAGCTACTTGGAAGGCTGAGGTGGAAGGATCACCAGAGCCCAGTAGGTCAAGGCTGCGGTGGCCGGGAGCGGCCACTGCACTTCAGTCTGGGCAACAGAGTGAGACTCCAACTCAAAAAAAAAAAAAAAAAAAAGGTATATTCAGCTCCCTCAAGTGTCAGGAGAAGGGCTATGTGGGCTTTTTTTGGTATTGAGTTCAAATTTTGTACTCCAAAATGTAGGGTCTTATCAATAGTTCTATTATTAAGTGAAATTACTGAGAGCAAGAAAGAGAGAGAGAGAGAAAAGAAAATGTAAGAGAATCTAGAATCTACAGGCCAGGCCTCAAATACAAATATCTTTAAGCCCCACTTCAGGCCAAACCTATCACCAGCCTGAGGTGTTCACAGGCTAGAAGGAAAGGCACTGGAGCCACCAGCAGAAACAGACCCCAAGCAGATCCAGACAGACTGTGGACTCCAAAGAGCTTGGGGTAGGTGGGGGCAGGGAAGCCCAGTGGGTCTGGGGACTGCTTGGAGAAAGGGTCACAATCTGGATGGCCACTGTGAGGTGAGGGGCCAGGGCACAGAGTAGGCCAAGGGCCCAAGTGGTCTAGGCCAATCATCTTTAGAGTGAGGAACATTCTAAAATTCCACAGCTTCCATTATATCTCTGGCTAAACTCTGTACCCACAAGGGAATTTTTTTTCTAGTAGGGTTTTGGAAACACTTTCTGGAATTATCATGCATAAATTTTTAGTTCTCATATTTTCTGTATGATGGATCCCATTTCGTGGTTGAAGAAGCAGCAGCAGAGAAGTTGTGACTTGCTGAAAACTACCTAGAAAGTGGCTGCACAGCAATTTCAAATCTAGCTGTCCACCCTCCAGAATCTCATGACCATGTGACTAAGGAGACATGTATAAAGATGTTTATTGAAGCAATATTTACAATGGCAAAAGATGTGGAAACCACTTGCCAGTGGTTTTCAGCAGGAGAACGAATAAACAAGGGCTTCTACAAACAATAGAATATTGTTTCACAGAGAAAGCAATGCACAATACTTCTAGGCAACAACATCACAAAATCTCAAAAACATAATGAGGAGTGGAAAAGGCAGTTTGCAAAAAGGTACGCACAAGATACTATCTGTGCATATTTTTAAGACACAAAACACTCATATATATTGTTTGTGGATGCTACACAAACAATGACAAATCTAGAAACGGGCTACCTCTGAGGTGGGAGGCAGCAGAAGGGGTGTGGGTGTGTTTAGTTATTTTGTAACACTCCATTTCATTAAGAAAGAGAGTGGACCAGCTTGGAGGAATCAGGGGTAAAAGTATCCAAATATTCTCATCTGTTTTTTCATCATGCTTGATTAATTACATGAGGGTATATTTGGTGTGGTTGTTTTTTCTTATTTTTGGTATATGTGAAGTATTTTGTGAATAAATTGGTAAATAAAAGCGGAAGGCAACCCCCATATAAAACAAATCAAAGCAAAACACAACCAAAAAACAAAACAAATTTTCCTGTAGCCAAGCAGACATTTTTCTTAGATCTATTCTTGACAGAAATGCTGACCTCCACATGGCCCAGCGTCATACTTTGTTACTGTGAGGTGAGGGGCATTTTCTCTTCATAAAAGGCTTACTGTCTGTGTCAATGGCTAGGTGCCTTCCTGCTGTGAGTGGGCCGTGGTAAGGATCCGGAAGTAGATGGGACTTACCTGTCAAGTTCC